CTGGCCCAGGCCTCAGCAGTAGGATGTCAAGGGGCATCATCAGTCACTGTCTGTGCCGACTGACTATAAAGATGTCTATCCGTTTGCTGAGCAAACCCCAGTCGACCGATGCCATCTGGAATGTGTCAAATCCCTCCAAGACAAAACAACACACGTTTAAACCTGTCCAGACCAGGCCTTTAGGAGATGGGAGATAGAGGGAGGGAAGGAGGAGGGGAGAGGGGGAAGAGAGGGAGGAGTGTAGGTGAGGGCAGGGAGGACGTGATGAACAGTGTGGTGGAAAATATCACTAATCAAACAAACAGACACAGAGGGAGGCTGATACACAGAATGGGTGACAGAGGGATTGGGAGAGAGGGGGGAGAAAGGGGGGGAGTGAAAATGAAGGGGAGAGAAAGATCACCCACACACATATAAATGAAAAATGGGGAATGCCTACAAGGGGCTTTACACTAGTCCAACCACACCCACATTGTACACCCCCACTCACTCCCTGAGACCACCAAACATCCACATGTTTGGGTGGCTATCCACCGAGTAAAAAATGTGTTTTTCCATGCTTAACCCTTCCTCACCCTACTGTACCCTTCCTCACCCTACTGCAAACTGTAATTAACCTCTTAGACACCAGAGCTTCCTGAGGCTCTAAAACACAGTACCCACTTCCTGCTTCTCACAGAATGCAGAAGAGACACCCGCCAACATGCTTCCTCCTCCTACACACTCCCACATTCTTTTGAAGTGCCTGCATGTAACTGAACACTATATATTTGGCTGGGCTCCCTGCCTGTGCCATTAAACCCCTACAACTCATCCAGAATGCCGCAGCCCGTCTGGTGTTCAACCTTCCCAAGTTCTCTCACGTCACCCCGCTCCTCCGCACACTCCACTGGCTTCCAGTTGAAACTCGCATCTGTTACAAGACCATGGTGCTTGCCTATGGAGCTGTGAGGGAACGGCACCTCCGTACCTTCAGGCTCTGATCAGTCCTACACCCAAACCGAGGGCATTGCGTTTCATCCACCTCTGGCCTGCTGGCTCCCCTTCCTCTGCGGAAGCATAGTTCCCGCTCAGCCCAGTCAAAACTGTTCGCTGCTCTGGCACCCCAATGGTGGAACAAGCTCCCTCACGACGCCAGGACAGCGGAGTCACTCACCACCTTCCGGAGACATTTGAAACCCCACCTCTTTAAGGAATACCTGGGATAGGATAAAGTAATCCTTCTACCCCCCCCCCCCCTAAAAAAAAAAGAAAAAAAAAAAACATTTGTAAAGTGGTTATCCCACTGGCTATAGGGTGAATGCACCAATTTGTAAGTCGCTCTGGATAAGAGCGTCTGCTAAATGACGTAAATGTAAATGTAAATATTTCATTCTGGCATGTTTCCTCTGTCTCACACAACACATACAACCATTCCCTAACATAAATCCACTCAATCTACTACTCTATAAAGTATGTTCTGATACAGTGCCAGTACCAGAACATCAGAGACACATCATCAATACATCTGTGGCTTTATTAGCTCTCCTGACACCCACCTCTTCCACTGATCCATCTCACACAAGGGCAGCCATTGTCCTCTATCAAGGGGTCATGGAGACTGGGCTATCAGTGGCTAGAGGTGAACTGCAGTGTGTGGACCATTAGGTCTTTGATATTCTTACTGACCACACGCACACACTTGCATGCACACACACACACACACACACTCACAGGCTCACTGATAAAACCACACAAATATGCACTTATTCTTATGCAAACACACAACATGTGCTCATGCCTGCAGACTGGATTTTCTAGTCTGACGTGTCTGACATGGCAGACAGACACTGATACAATTTTTTAGTTCGACTGGCACAGGAAAACAATACAGAGCGCCAGCATACCACGATCAACGGAGCATGAAAGAGAGAAAGAGAGAAAGAGAGAAAGAGAGAAAGAGAGAAAGAGAGAAAGAGAGAAAGAGAGAAAGAGAGAGAGCGCTGTGTCAAAGTGCCCTTGTATCCCTTTAATCGTGGTTACTACATACCAGGAAGGCAGACTGTATGAAGAGGAAGAGAGAGGGGGAGGAAGAGGGGGAGGTGGATGGAGGGAGGGAGGAGGGGAGGTAGAGGGGAGGGAGGTTTAACTTGAATATTTTGCTTTAATTAAGGGAATGTTAAAACGATGACAGCATGGCTGGATGGATGGATGGATGTATCTGAATGAAGGAGACTGTCAGTGGTGGGAGTAGGAGGGGGGCACAAGATGATGGTGTGTGTGTGTGTTGGGGGGGTGGGACTGGGTTATTTGAAGGTGTGTGTGTGTGGTAGGGAGGGATGGCAAGATGTGTTTGAGAAGGTTTGGATGAGGTTGTGAGGGGTGGTGCAAGATGGTGTGTGTCAGGGGTTAGGACGCGGTGTTGAGTCTTAACTATCAGCAACTCTACCATCCTGGCACCAAAACACTCCTCCTCCTCAACCCTTCTGGCAGGGTGGGGAGAACCCTGTGCAAGTGCAGATAGAGGGAGGGAGGGAGGGAGGGAGGGAGTGTTTGAGAGATACGTCTGGAGGATGGCATGCATGGCTACCGTCCCTCTACCTCCCTCGCTCATTTCTGGAATTGAGAAGAAGGGAGAGGGAGTGAAAGGTGCAAAACAGAGAATAGAGAACAGCCAACAAATACCAAATAGCTCCAACAGTTAAGACGATAAGGGAGAGCTGTAACGAAGCTTACAGCTGCAAATTAGGAGATATGAAAGAGAACCCTTTGACATGTCAGATATCTAACTATACTGTGATAATCTGTGTCTGTCATCTGATGATTTGAATATCAGAGTGGTGAGAGAGATGAAAGCAGACGTGACACCATTGGACTTGTTAGTCAAAGGCTGACGGACAGGCCTCCCATCGATTCAGAACATTTGTTATTCATGACGCTGTCAGATGTAGAGACCCCATTCATAAAACAACCCTGCATAGAGAGACCCTTTAAACCTCAGTTATTATGAAGCTTATTTTAATATTATAGGATTTTATTTTTTAACGAAAATAACACATAATCAAGTTTCAAGTTTTAATGTCACATGCACAAGTACAGTGAAATGCCTTTCTTGCAAACTCAAAACCCAACAATGCAATAATCAATAACAATTTCATACTAGAAAAAGAAATATGAAGAACACAATCAGTAAGTAAATAAGCATTCTATATACAGGGTCAGTTCCAATACCATGTTTACAATGTGCAGGGATGCTGGAGTGATGGAGGAAGATATACAGTTGAAGTCGGAAGTTTACATACACTTAGGTTGGAGTCATTAAAACATGTTTCTTGTTAACAAACTATAGTGCATGACACAAGTAATTTTTCCAACAATTGTTTACCTTCAATGCTGCAGACATTTTTTGGTACCCTTCCCCAGATCTGTGCCTCGACACAATCCTGTCTCGGAGCTCTACGGACAATTCCTTCGACCTCATGGCTTGGTTTTTGCTCTGACATGCACTGTCAACTGTGGGACCTTATATAGACAGTTGTGTGCCTTTCCAAATCATGTCCAATCAATTGAATGTACCACAGGCAGATTCCAATCAAGTTGTAGAAACATCTCAAGGATGATCAATGGAAATGTTTTTGATTTGTCATTATGGGGTATTGTGTGTAGATTGCTGAGGATTATTAAATTTTTTTATCCAATTTTGAATAAGGCTATAATTGTAACAAAATGTGGAAAAAGTCAAGAGGACTGAATACTTTCTGAAGGCACTGTATATGATGATACAGTGGGGGAAAAAAGTATTAGTCAGCCACCAATTGTGCAAGTTCTCCCACTTAAAAATATTGAGAGAGGCCCTGTAATTTTCATCATAGGTACACGTCAACTATGACAGACAAATTGAGAAAAAAAAATCCAGAAAATCACATTGTAGGGTTTTTAAATGAATTTATTTGCAAATTATGGTGGAAAATAAGTATTTGGTCACCTACAAACAAGCAAGATTTCTGGCTCTCACAGACCTGTAACTTCTTCTTTAAGAGGCTCCTCTGTCCTCCACTCGTTACCTGTATTAATGGCACCTGTTTGAACTTGTTATCAGTATAAAAGACACATGTCCACAACCTCAAACAGTCACACTCCAAACTCCACTATGGCCAAGACCAAAGAGCTGTCAAAGGACACCAGAAACAAAATTGTAGACCTGCACCAGGCTGGGAAGACTGAATCTGCAATAGGTAAGCAGCTTTGGTTTGAAGAAATCAACTGTGGGAGCAATTATTAGGAAATGGAAGACATACAAGACCACTGATAAACTCCCTCGATCTGGGCTCCACGCAAGATCTCCACCCCGTGGGGTCAAAATGATCACAAGAACGGTGAGCAAAAATCCCAGAACCACACGGGGGAACCTAGTGAATGACTGCAGAGAGCTGGGACCAAAGTAACAAAGCCTAGCATCAGTAACACACTACGCCGCCAGGGACTCAAATCCTGCAGTGCCAGACGTGTCCCCTGCTTAAACCAGTACGTCCAGCCCGTCTAATTGTAGAGTGATTGGATGATCCAGAAGGGATTGCGAGAAGTCATATGGTCAGATGAAACAAAATAGAAATTTTTGGTAAAAAAATAAAACGTCGTGTTT